AGGTCATATCAAGCATGGTTATACGAATCACAATAGTATAAACTAACCATTTGTTTACGGGATTTCATTCTTCCTTAGTTTTATTTTAAGTAATGAAAATACTATACATACCGGTGGTAGCCAGGGTTTTCAAACAAAACATACTATACATACTGGTGGTAGCCAGGGTTTTCAAACAGAACATACTATACAAAGGTTTTTGTACAAGAATACACACATCCTATGATTGGTAGTAACCAGACATACAAACTAATGTTTTTTTCCTATACAATAACAGGATACAGTAACAAACTTTCATAGTTAATTCTATAATTCCTTCGTTTAGGCATCAGGGCTACGTATGGAGAATATTCGATAGACAGTGGAGTGTGTGGTTTCCGCCTCATCTTCTGTTCCTTGTTTGGTTGTGGACTTAGGGTAGATCCACATAATCAACTGTCTGTTCGATATTGGTTTATACATGGCTAGCATGAACTAAGTGGTCATAGATGGAACTAATATTATCACATTTTTACTAAATAAAATATTGGATTTTCTTGGAAACATGCGAACATTTTTACAGAGTCATCAACAGGTTTTCATTACAAAAACATCGCTTATGAACTCACCAACTTTATGCTGATACTCTTTCAAAACTGGTTGTATTCTCAGGAAATCAGTAGACATGTACCTTCTGGAGTTTTGAGAAGACGGAGCGTATAGAGTCACGTCTTTTTCTTTTGATTATACTTTTGATCTATAAAAACAAGAATTCAAACAGATGTAAACACCTTTTCATATATGTATTCAATGTAATGGTTGTGTTTACTATGATTACTATGATGCAATTGTTGTGATACTACATATGACGTCATCCACCCCTGAACGTTTCCGTCATTCCGATTTGGGGGTGTCACAGATATAATTGATATGTGAATTACATGTTATTTACATGTAAGTCACATGTAATTCATATGTGTTCACTCGTGCTTTACATGTGATTCATATGTGATTTATATGTCAATTACATATAATTACATGTGAATCACATGTAATTCATATGTGTTCACTCGTGATTTACATGTGATTCATATGTCAATTACATATAATTTACATGTGAATCACATGTAATTTATATGTGAATTACATGTGATTTACATGTGAATCGCATGTAATTCATATGTGAATCACATGTAATTCATATGTGTTCACTCGGGATTTACATGTGATTCATATGTAAATTATATGTAATTTATATGTGAATCACATGTAATTCATATGTGATTCACATATAATTTACATATAAACTAAACTTTAGTGCTTTTAAAGATGATCAAATAAGTAACTCACTATGAGAAAACAGGGAAACATAATATTTTTTCAACAAAGCAATCACATGTAATTCATATGTGGTAGTAAGATCCGATGTGTGGTATTTGATTGCAAGTTCAACATCATCATTTTCGGATACATGTACATAAAAACTCAAAAAGTAACAAATATATCATATGCATAATATGGTAATTGTCATAAGAAAGACAGATAAAGAAAACTCACAGTTATAGCAATCAAACACATCAACAACATCATTTTCAGTTACCAGTTCATAAAAACTCAAAAATTAACAAGTATATCATATGCATAATATATCAGTTGTCATAAGAAAGACAGATAAAGAAAACTCACAGATATAGGTTCCTCAAGATCAATTATTCCAATACCATTTACCAACATGTCACCATATTCCCCTATGCACCATAAAGCCACCACACTGTTGTTTGTTACCATTTTGGTTTAGATGGCTTTATGTCCTTATGAATTACATGTCTTTCATGGTGTAAATACACAATACCCTGCAACACCTGTCATAAACACTACATTCATCATATATAAAACATAACATAAGTTTTCCCCAACACAAAAAGGTGGAACAAGGTAGGAGTAGGACATGGAAAAAGATATAAATGCCCTCCTTATCCTCAAGTTATGAGTAGGACATGGAAAAATATTTTTTCTCAACTAACCTGTTTGCAAAGAACAACAAGATATGGTTCAAGAATGGTCTTGAGTTGTCTGATCACATCAGTAAAAGATCCACGATCCATGTATTCAAAAACCAAAGAGATGGCTCCATTATGGTAGAAAGAGTGATAACAGACAACAATGTGAGGGCATTGAGATGCTTGATTGATTTTCAGCTCTTGCACGATTAAAGCAACCCAATTTTTTGAATTACCATTGATATGTTCTTCAACCTGCTCCTGTCATATTATACAAGTTCAAATGACCATTTTACCCTTAAACATACAACACGCAAGAAATGGGAAAACTATATATCACCAAACTTACTGTGAGTTTATGTTGTTGTTTCCACCACCTTCATTTCTTTTCACTGATACAAATTCCGAAGAAATCATTATAAAAAGAAATAAAATTAATGGTTTATGTGGCATAAATTAAAATGAGTGAAAATAAATAAATTCAATTACCATATCTTCTGGAGTCTATGATGGAATCACTTTCCCCTGATGATGATGGATTTCTTGATGGAGTTTGTGTGCTGGAATCTGAATTTATGATTGCATTATCATCAGTAGAACTATCATGTCACTAATACACTCATATCCATACAACCATTGATTAATCAACAAATCAATCAAAACATGTATTGCCCCTGAAACAACCACATTCACTTTATTTACACTGTAAACTGCAAGATTAATCAATGCAGTTGATGCGTCTCTTTTCCCTGTTGTAGTTCCATCTTTCAACAACCCAATAAAATTAGGAATAGATTTGGGACGACTACCGATAACCACTTTATAGTCATCAATTAGCGATAAGCTAAATAGAGTCGTTGCTACATTTTCTCTTGCCTCCATTGTTCTACCCGAACCCAATACGTCTACTATATTGTCTATCACTTCTGCCGCCACTATCAAAACCTTATTGTTTTCAAATATCGAAAGGTTTAGAAGTGTAGTGACTGCATGCTCTTGAATTCTCGGATCATGCGATGAAAGTAATGTTACCAAAAGAGGAATCGCTCCTGCCTCTGAAATTAACCTCCAGTTATCCATCCCGGTTTTCGCTAGCAATCTCAACTCATACGCCGCTTGCCTCTGGATATCAATCGAACCCATCGCTAGTTTTCCCACCAAAAACTCTGATGTCATCAGCCGAATAGCATAATATGCAAACACAGCTAAATCAAGCTTAATTAAAGAGATATCGATAGGATATACGACAAAAGTAATATAAGGAATTTAATTAGGGGAATGAAAACCTCGAAGTGATCCTGAATTTTGCTAGGATCAAGGGGTTGGCCCTGAGGATCAACACATGGAGTCATCATATCAGGATGTTGATACATGTTGGAAAGCAATATGTAGGGTTGATGTTGGGTTTAGTGTGGAGACTTGAGCATCGATCCCCATGGCGACAAGCTCTGATCTGAAAGATATACAATAAACGAACGAGAAATAAGATGTAGTCACGAATCGATCACCGAATATGAGGTGGAGACGTGATTCGATCACCGGAGATGAGGCATAGATGTGACTTAATTGTGACTTGGCCAGAACTTCGGGAGGCGATGTGACACCGGGAGGTGATGCAACGATAGGAGGGAAGGATAGATCTCATTTAATGTTATACAGATGGTCGGAGATGGCAATGATTTGATACAATGCTGTTTTTTAGGGGGTGATGGAGAGACTAGTAAGCCACTGTAGATGGTGGTCGTTGACAGATGCAGGGGTGGCGGAAGGCGGAGGGAGGTGGTGTAGAGTCGAATTTTATTGTAATATGTCGAATCTGTGTAATTGTTCATTTCGTATGTTCATTATGTATTTACTAAGGCATCTGTTTTTACGAAGCAGGAATGTCTAGCCTTAGTATTTTTTGTACTTTCAGCCTCCTATAAATAGGAGCTAAACATAGAGTAGATGATAGAGTTTTCCTTATTCTATTATCATTTTTGTACTCGTGTTCATTGGAAGTAATGAGAGCTTAAACCGGACCTTATTTACTTCTCGTGTTCATCTCTACTCTGATTTTGATTCTCAAACTCGATTAATCAATCCTTCAATTGGTATCAGAGTAGGAATCAATACTGCAAGGATCTGATTTTCAATTGAATCTCTAGTTTTTGAGTCGCAAAATTGTCTCAAAAGTTTCCGCACTGTTTGATTCTGAAAATCATCTCTGATCTACAGTTTTGATTTGATTCTGCGT